ACAATTAGATTGTTGATTTTTATATATTTTACCACGTGACAATTAGCATCACATGATTACGGCGCCAATCACTAGTTCGTATTAAACTATTGTATTTGGGACGACGATTTTACGTAAAAGCACTCAATAGACCTTTATTTTTCTTGCAATTTTATACACACTCCTTCGCTACTACAAAATTACATCATTTTTCGCTCATACATATTTTAACTTTTAATTGATTACTAATCACTATTAATCAATGCATTGTTCTTGCAATATTAAACTCTACCATATTACGACATATTTTATGCATTACTAATATTGTATGACTGACTTTGCTATTGATATCCAAACTATTCATTTATCATCCCCGAAATCACGCCTATGATCTGTCACGTGGGTCATGTGGACCACGTGACGGTTCGATCGATCTAATCTAGGTTTCGAAAAGAGTTTTTACATTACTATTATTGCTTTACGCTCTTGCATAATAAACTATAAGTCATGCCAACTGTATTCTCTGTACAAAGTGCACCATATGTCTCGTTACTTCATCACACTAGTTAAGATAATAGGTTCGTATTATCATATACATAAATTATTATTTTTTTCACATGACATGTGTTTTTACATTTTTTCAAGAAAAAGTATAAATACAACTAGAATACGATAAAAATTAATGGGCGTAGATCAGATCATTCGGAATGCGCAGTTCAGATAAGTGCAAAATCGTCATTTTAGTCAAAAAAGAAAGATTACAGACACAGGCACATGCCCAAATAAATTCTTAATAAGCAATGATCGAAGCTAGATCGCCGAAGGAGTACGTAATAATATTGAAACCCCTGGTTATTCGTATGACCAGGTGATATTTTTTTAACAAGCACGTATATTCTTCAATTCTAAAGTATCGTTTAAGACTTTTAGATCGCCATAAATCAAATATGAAAGGTAGTTCACTTATACGTAAAAGCAGAGAAAAATGTGAATTTTTGTTAATTTAAACCGAAAACTTAGTAACTCTCATGATACACAAATAATTATGAAAAAAATTTTTTTCCTGGAAATTTATTCGACATTACTATGCAAAAATAATCTCAAAACTTGCTTAGAAAGCTAAATATACAAACCATGTAAGCTATACTATAGAGCAAGGTAACTAGAAAGGTTTTTTGTTTAAACTATTTTGTTACGTTAGATTCAAATAAACTTTTATTACTAACAGTATAGTTTGAATAAATACAAGCTTATTAGGCGAGAGATTAATGGGTTTAATGTCTATTTTTTTGTAATGTGTTAGATTTTGTTAGCCGTAAATTTAAAAGTTATTGGTTTATATATATATATAAATTTTTTGATAAGTTCATTATAAATATTAAATTTATATACTTTACGCACATCTATCTATTCTCTAAAATATCCATGATAAATATTTGTAATTTGTAAGGCTTTTTATATGAAGTTTTTGTTCGTTTTCTAATAGTATTAAAGAGCATGAATTTTTTAAAAACTATGTAATTTGATTGGTTAATTATCACGGGTAATCACGGATAGATCATGCAAAAATGTTGACCAATTAAAACAAACTTCCATAGCGCTGGAAAATTAATAATAAATTACAATTCGGGAAATGCTATATCAAAATTATGACTTGTTAGTAAAGTATTTCAGTAAAATGACTTCAGGAAACCTTTCATACTATGCACAGTACATATAAACATTTAGGTTCTGCTTTGATCATTATGTAAGTATTCTATTTAGGTTTACAAATATGCTTCTGAGTTTTCTTATTCCTTTTTTTTTTTTGAATTCAGTCGTCAAAGACTGTAATGAAAGATCGTAACGAAAGGATACAAATCGTTGATTCACACAAAACAAATAAATAATGATTGAGTCATTGTTATTACACGAGTAAGTAACACAATTGAAACATGGCAAACCAAAACGAAATAACGAAATCGTGATCAAGACATGTACTCAATAGTCGTAATTCTAAAATGCGATACGAAAATGTAACCTTAAGTTAGAGGCTGACAATACGGCTAAGCGAAGCTTAGCCGAAATTGATAAAAATCTAAGATTTATCAACTTCTATATAGAGAATCACATTGTCCTGATTATTATTATTTTAATTTTAATCACAATAGAAAGTGAAATTATTCAAAATTCTCATAATAACTGAATATAAATATTGTTATTACGTACAATGCAATTTAGACATAAAAATATTTAAAATCGGGCCGTTCGCATGTGAGATCTCTAGTTTGATTACTTAATCAAGAAATAACCAAATCCGCTTCATCTTTGCCGTCTTTACCGCCTTTGCCATCTTTATGAATAATAATATTTCCCGACGGTTATTTCCCCTACAGGTCATTTACCCGAAATCACATAGGGTTAAGATTAGCATTTGATTGGTTGCAGGTATATATTAATAATGAATTGTCACATGTGTGATTCGGGTAAATGACCTATAAGGGAAATGACCGTCGAGGAAATGAGACGTCATCAGCCATTACATCAGCCAGCCTATACACATACGTACCGTACTAATTAGAAGATCATACAGAAAAATGTTCCCAGGAAAACTTGTAAACTTGATTTTATACAGAACTCAGCCCCGTTGAATCCTGATTGCATTATGAGTATTGATCATATAACAGATAATTAATTATTTTCAAAATTACGTATTGCGTCATAACGCATCAGGGCTAAGTTCGGCAAGATAAAAATTGAAAATAACGTGGTTTACCGTAAACTGCTGACTCAAGTACCCGGTGTGATGCAATTTTTCAAATAGTGAAAAATTAAAATTCACGTATATTATATATCACATGCACACATAAATAGTATTTTAAAAAATTGATCTACATTATTTGTCACGCCGGGTACTTGAGTCAGCAGTTTACGGTACATGTTTTTTCATTCACTGTATGTAATTGTATTGTTATTATGTAATTGTCGTATTTTATATAAATACACGAACACGCATGTATTTTTCATGCATAAAAAAAAAAAACTTCTAAACATTAACATTTAAAAACAACTGACCAAAAAAAAAAAAACTGATATTTTTCTAATAATATAAACGAGAATGCCACTTACGTGTACTGACATATTTAAAGCAATTTTTGCTGTTTTTTTCCCACCGCTTGGTGTTTTTCTTGAGGTTGGATGTACCAAAGACTTATTAATTAATATTTTGTTGACTCTACTTGGATGGGTTCCTGGTAATAAAATTTTCTATTTAACGTATTGGTATTATAATTAAAAAATTAATTGTATGATTTCTTTATTCTATAAGGAATTATCCACGCTTTTTATATAATTGTCAAATATTAACAATGCGAATCTATAATCGAAAAGAATATTGACTTGAATAATGACACTTCACGATATTCTGAAACCTAAAAGAGATATAGATGGTTTAAATTTTTTTTTTTCTTGGAATAATATTATACAGTAATAATATTCGTTTCTTATATTTAGTTATTATTATTTGTCTTTAATTTACGTGCGTGAGTGCGTACATATCGTGCGCTTATGCATTTATTTGAAATATATATATATTTGTTTATATTGTACGTTTTGCGATATGAGAGGAAATTAATAAATTAATTTGATTGTCATTATAGTGATCTAAGTATATACATATAAAATTTACATCAATCATAATAGAGCAAAATAGGTTCTCTTATCAATTTTATTGATTCACTGTAATTACTTACAAACCGACTATGTCACTCTGGATCTGTGTTTTAGGTTTGGTTCCGTAGTTATTACAGAACCGGTTTTAAATCGCCACCCAAAAAATGTCAGATCATACGATTAATCACGATATACGATGCTTATAAATTTCCGTAAAAGCTTGTCGGCTAAAGCGGAGGTTTCCTTTTTTAAAGTTTTTATGTATACTGTAAATATCAATGCAGTTTATGCAGTACAACAGTATATTGTTCAATTGGAGTAAAATCGGTGGCATTACGAATAATAATAAATTGCTCAAAAGCATCTTTCTTAATTCGCACTATTCAATATGTTAGAAGAACCACAAAGCCGAAATCTAAATTCTAATTGAAGAAACCTAAAATCCAAATGACAACCTAGTTCAAATTAACAAAACCCCAGTACTCTCACTTTAAAAAAAAAAAAAAAACAACCCCGATTATTCATATACTGCAATTTGGCAAAGAAAATAATATAAACAAAGCTAAGCGATTAATAAGGACATTATATTTCGCGCAATATCGCTCATAAGCATTATTTAGAATCATGGCCCGAATTAAGCATAATTTGTGCCAAATTTTGAAATTACACCCTTAAATCGCCACCTAAAAAATTTTCAAAAAAATTAATTACTGAAAATTTTGAACTCAGTGGTATTTCCGTGATTATCGCATCACGTGATATTATGCAATGACGTCATTTGTTTACTAGCACTAACATATTGGCCTAAACTAAATTATCACTTAACCCAGGCCGAGTGCTTAATCATGTGATGTTCTTTAAACTACCCGATTTTTTTCTCAGCCACTATAACGAGAATAAGTCGATCATTACAGCTATTTTCATAATTCCTGGAACACTTGATAAAATTGGCTGAATGATTTTTCGGCCGATTCGATTAAGTTTGTGATTTCGGCACAATAGGGGGTTTCAAAGTTAACAAATAAGTGGCGCATTTTGAAATTAAATGAGAGTTTGAAAAATCTTATTTGTTTTTCAAGATTTTAAAATCAGAAAATGAAATGGGAGTGTTTAGAGATCCCTATTTCATGAAATCGGAAAATTTTTATAATACTTTGCAAAAAAAAAAAACCAAATAAAAAGTAAAACTTTCGTTCAATTTGAAGTTAAGATCAGATTGCCGGATCACTTATTTCAAAATAAATACGTCATCAATTTCAATTAAAATTAGATTTCCGCATTTTAACTTTGAAACCCCTAATACGTAGATTTAATTCATATATATACGTAATTTAAGATCAGGTAACTAATTGTCCGAAGGACATTACGGTTGATCCCGATGTCTGTGTGTGTGTGCGCAAATCCTGGATTTTGATTGGTTGCTTATATCAAAACATAATTACACCCGTAAATACCCGTTTTATCGGACTGATCCGTGTAAAAATAAATTATTAGTTTTTTACTTTCTAATACGTACATAATAAAATTTCCTTCGGACTTTTAATGGTTCCCATTTACCTAGTATAAATATTAGGGTGATTCATAATTAACTTATTTCGAAAATAGGTGGGGTACAAAATGTCCCATTTCGATTTTGAAATAGGAGTTATGAAATGAGTAGTAACTTTTTGTTTTGATGATGTATTGTTATCATATGATACTATTGTAATAATAGTTAATAAAGAACTACAAGTTATCGCTTTACTAAATATTACATATCTATTTTCAAATTAATTTTTAATAAAATAATTGCCACAAAAGAACTTTTAAACAAACCACTAAAGAAGAGAACTTGTAGGATATCGATCTAATATTAGTTATATTTTTATGAGTACCATTAGAATATTCTTCTATAATACTTCTAAAATACTATTTATGTTTTTAATATGTGATTGTCGATCAGAAATATAGGACATTTTTAAAATATATATGAAAAGATATCAAGCATCGAAAAAAATTCTCGATCATAAAAGTTATTATATAAATAAGCTCACAAATCAAAATAAATGAGATTTATGAACCGCTGATTTCGAAATAAATACATCGCTAATTTAATTCGAAATCAGAAACCTGCTCCTTAATTCTGAATCACCCTATTATTGAATTTACTTTCAAAGCATCTTCGCTGGAAAATATTTAAAAAAATAATTTAGAAGGACTATCATTTCGAAAAGTTTCCAAACACCTAGGTGTTAGCATATCTTTTATAAGTCAAATTTTCGACCACTTTCAAAAATATCGATGTATTGAAAAGCTTCCGTCACTTTCAGAACCACTTTTACTGAACATGAATGATACAAAATATTTTAAAAACTTTAATGAAAAAAACCTGAATGGTATTTGTACTGTATGAATTACAATCCGATGGAACTCTGGTTAGACGTAAAATTAGTCTTATGACAATTTGAAGGGCTATGAACCAACATGTATATACAAATAAAAATAGTATTTATTTATATACAAGATCTTCTTTTAACATATACTTCGTGCAATATGTTTATTATAAAGTTTAATTATTATATAGAGCATTTTCATATTTTTTGTTAAGACTTAATTGACACATTAAACATGTTTCTAACGAAAGTTTAATAATATTGACATTATTATTACTACGGTCTGTAGAACAGTCATTATGATACAAAAGTAGTTTTTATTATACGGATCATGCCGAAATTACAAACTTAATCGAACCGGCCGAAAAATCATTCGGCCAATTTTTATCAGGTGTTCCGGGAATTATAAAAATAGCTGTAAATAACAAGATCTGAAATTTTTTCGGTGGCGGTTTAAACCGGTTATTACACCCTGCGCGTATTTAAAAAAATGTATTATTTAATATTTGAGGCTTTTTATATGAAGTTTTAAAAAAGCATTTACATCTCTCAATATTTAAATAAATATATCGATACATGGTAAATTATAGTTATTGTATGGGTATGCACATACCTGAGGTTGTCACTTAGCCACTTGGCCGGCCATCGGCCGTGGCTAGTGACCTAAAATGGCCGAAATGGCCATTATTAATATTATATGTTAGAAACTTTAGGCCCCTTGGCGGGTAATTTCAAGAACACTGAACTCATTGATATTTTCGTGATCATCACATCACATGATCAAGCACTCGGCCTAAGAAGTTAGGGTTAGATTTAGGTTGGGGGCATGTCAAATTTTTGGGGCATGACTCTGGGACATGCCTTTTCGAAGGGCATGCCTCCTAGATATATATATTATATATTATTGTAATTAGCAATAGTAGGCTTTGATTCTAATTGGATAATTGGCCAATTATATAATAGCTCTATATCATATGATGGGGGCATGCCTTTTGATCAAAGGGCATGCCTCCCAACCTCGTGCCCCAACCCTAGTGGTTAGGTGGGCCAATTCTATTAGTGCTAGTAAACAAATGACGTCATTGTGTGATTACATGATCACTGAGTTCAGTGTTCTTGAAATGCCCAATTTTTTGGGTTTTACGGTCAGTAGACAGAAACCAGAACCCGACCTGATACTTTAATAGGCCCGACCCGTCCCACACTCTAATAATAATATATAAGGGTATTAATAACCCCCGGCGAAAGATGATTTATACATATTTTAAATCTTTAAAATATTATTTTATAAAATTTATTAATTATAATTGCTTCAAATAGTGTACTACCAGTAGTATATCAAAATTTGCAAAAAGTAACTATTTAAAATTTTTTTTCTCAACGACTTTATTAACAATATAAAAGAATACTACTAAGCTATTCTATTTATCAGATTTAACATTAGGGTACATTAGGGTTAGGTTAGGTTAGGGTTATGTTAGGATTTAGGGTTAGTGTAGAGTAAAATTACAATATGAGCATATTTACTTGCACAACAGGGTTACCCTAGTAAAATTTTAAGTATTAAGATACGGCTTCATGCAGCCATGGCTATAAGTAATTTTTCTCTAAAAATTATTCAAATTTATAATTACTGTATTTAAAATTTATAATTTTTTAAATTTATAATTTACTTTATTAATTGTACTACTGGTAGTACAAAAAAGTGAAATTCTATTCATTAATAAAAATCCGGTATCTTCAATTCATATAGTTTACTACCTATAGAAAGATTATCAAACAATATTATAATTTAATAAAATAATATAATTTATTAAACAAACTAATAGCTACGTACCTTGATACTTATAACCATTATTGGATGAAATAAAACTACTTTCATAATGTGATTTAATATTTATTTGCATATCTTCATTTGTTATATTTTTTAATTTTTTATCAGATTCAGATAATTCTGATAAAATATTTTCATTATTCTGCCATGCTGCAAAGATATCATAAATTTCATTTGCTGTTGGTCGTTTTTTTGGATCCATGTTCCAACATTTCTTCATTAAATCTACATAGCATATTGCTGTATTTTCATAAATATACGGTCGCAAACCATTACATACTTGTAATTGGAATTGTAAGTCTGAATTCTGCTCAAAAGGAACAGGTTTACCGTATAAAATTTCCCACATGATTATACCATATGAATAAATATCAGATTCTTTAGTATACGGATGTTGATTCAAAACTTCAGGAGCAATGTATGGTAAAACTCCATAAATTCCATCCAATTTTGATTTTAATGCAATATTAGCTGTAATCGAAAACCCTAGATCTGCAATATATGCACTTTTTAAGCTATTTAGTAGTACATTTCCACTATGTAAATCTCGATGAATAAGATCTTGAGAATGAATTATCTGAAGATCTGATGCAATACTTTGAAGTAGATTTAATTTATCTTTCCAATCCATTTGTGCTATAGCATGTAGATTTCTGCTCAAAGAACCTTCTAAAGCGTATTCCATAACAAGAATATAATATTTAGAACTTTATCTTTTAATACACCGAAACATCTTAAAAAAGTTGGATCTTTAAGACCGATATCACAATATGCTTTTAACTTATCATTAAAGGACATATATATTTAATTGTTAATTTTAATAATAAATTATGAATAATATTAAATAATATAAATAATTAATAAATAAAGATTACCTCACTTAATAAATTCTTTACGATGATTATTCGATTCATGAAGTAACTTAAGCGCAACAGGTCTATATAAGTATTACTTTCTGCCAGCATATGAAGCACGATATACAGTTGCAAATCCACCTCGACCTATTTCTTCAATATTTTCAAATTCATCAAAAGAAATCCATGACAACTGATGTTTGCTTTCGATAAATATTTTTCTCAAATCATCTTCAATTTCTAAATTATACATCCATTCATTTGTAGCTAATATTTACAAAAATTTGATTTTAAATTATATATAGATTAATGATATATTAGATATAAGTTAATGATATATTAGATATGGTTTATAAAAACTTAATTACCTACTGCTGAATCCTTTTCCCTAATCAACGATTTAACATGTGAAGTATTAAATAAATATATAATACCGGAATATTATGAGTGAATGTTGTAATTTGTTAGAGGCATGCACGACTTCAATTACCAAACTAATACCAAGGTCAGGTGTAGCTCGAAATTTCAAAATTCTTAGGTTGCATAATCTATTAAACCAATATTTCAATTACACCTGATCTTATTATTTGGTAGTGATGCGTCGTAATACACCCGCGTAAATTCAAATAAAATTACCTTTGATACCAATATTTGGCTTTATCTAGATCTCTTGTTATTCCAATTCCATTTCTATAACACTCTGCAACTCCTGACATTCCATTAATGAAGCCCATCTATGCAGATTTCTGATAATGAATGAATGAAAGCCTTACGTTCATCCTTTTCAATTCCAAGTCCATGACGGTAGCAGATTCCAACATTATATATTCCAAAAACTTCCCCTATCTCTGCAGATTTTTGAAAATAAATGAATGCCTTATGTTCATCCTTTTTAACTCAAATTCCGTGAAGATAGCAATATCCAGTTGCACTTATTCCGAAAGCATTCCCCATATCTGCTGATTTTTGGCAACAAACAAATGCCTTATGCTCATCCTTTTCAACCCATTTACCATAATGATAACAACATGCAAGAATAATCTGTACTGAAGGATTGGCTTGATCATTCAAACAAAATTTGATAATATTATCCGGATTTTGCTTTTTCTTTATTAAAAATTGGTCCAACATTTCAGGGATTGTACAGAAATCTTTGCCTTTAGATCTTTCTTCATCAAACAAATTACACATTTCTTGAACAATTTCATTATAAATATCCAGTGAAAAATTTTGTGGCTTATTATCTTCTAAATACAATTGGGTATTATTGTTGGCTATTTGAGTCATATCTGATGGACTGTTGATTTTTTCTAGCTGCTTTTCAAATAGGTTATTGTATATTGACATTTTGATGTTATTACTTGATTCGTGAGAGTGTGTTATAACGATGCGGAATCAACTCTGATAGTAAAATAAAGTAGGAAAGAATGGTTTGAAAATAACGCTTGAGAAACTGTATATGTATATGATATATGTATATGCCACGAACTTAAATGGTATAATATAACTAGAAGTAGAATGAGATGATTGAATCAATGGATCACGAAGTATTAAATGAAAAGCGAATATTAAATAAATAAGGATCAAAAAGGCAGTTAAGAAAAATAAAAAATAAGTAATTAATGAAATAACTTAAAAGCAATAAAAAAAAAACTTAAAATATTAAAATATTCAATGAGGATTCAATTCTTATCATGTTTTTAAAGAATAAGTCGGTTCAAGAACTTTATTATTGTCGAATTCGAGGATATTTATACATGTTTAGTGAATATACGGCATTCTAAATATTTTAAATTTATACTATCTCTTACTATGCTGCACGAACTAAATACATTTATTATATTTAGTACAGATAAGATACATTGCATGATCACCGGTAAATTGAATACGTACGTTGTGAAAGGCCTCGAAGTCATGGCCTTACGAATAATAATGATATTATTAGTATTATTATGTTATTTTCTTTTATCCTTATTCGTATATCTCCAAAAATAGAAAGCGTCCTTACCCTATTAGGTACATTACGACATTTAGCACATTTCGTACTATAGTATTAGTACATTACGTCTTCTTGACTGTAACTTTGGTACTTTTTTGTACTGTACCATGCCTTTGGTACAAATTTATGTATTTTAAGATAGCTTCATATGTCAGACTATCCAAGATGCAGTAATGTAAAAAAAAGCATTTAAGCGAATTTTTCGCATTGAAATAAACTCAGTTAGATTAGAGTTGGCATAACTCACTAGAGTTCGACTCAACTAGAACTCTATTTTGCCCTAATAACTCGGACCGAGCCTTTCTACGCCTTCTACCATTAGGGTTTTGATATAGTTCAGTGTTGATTTGGATTAGTTTAGTATTAGTTGATATCCGTGAGGGCTGTATTTTAGAGATTCCGGATCGACTTTGACGTACGTACGATTTATTTAATTGGTCAATAGTTATAAATTGCTTATCGTTATGAATCGCTTATGAATCGCTTATGAAACTGCTTATAAAACTGCATAATTCTTATGAATCATTATATTTGATTGCTTTTTTCTTAGCTATAAATTGCTTACGAAACCATTCATAAAACTTGCATAATGCTTACGTATTAATATATCTCGATTTTCACTTAATAGTACGTACAGTACGTACGTACGTTCATCATGTGATACAACATAAATAAATTATAGGCACACAAGATACGAATTTGACTAATTAATACATAATTTATACTAAATTTTAACAATAAATTCCTAAAATGTTAAATGCTCCTTATTATTGAAATACAGTATAACGATAAAGCGGAAATTATTAATACTGAAATTACAAAATTTTTAGTTAGCTATGAACTTAGTCTTAACGTTATAAGGGTACAAATTTTATTTTATTTTTTTTCAGCAATTAAGATGAACTTAATTAATAAAACTATTAAAAAACCTATTAAATGCTGTTGTTGCATTCCCTTGAGAGGAGGTGCTATTATTGTAACAACTTTATCTCTGGCAAGTTTATAAAGTATATGATAGAAATTATTCGCATGCAGTACATACAATGTGTTAATTTGATTTTTATATAATGTTAAATACTAAGGTTGAGTTAATAAGTGGTATTTTCACTGAAATATTATCAATCGTAAATGGCAATCGTATGTATTTTTATTTGGTTTGTTTTATATTTTCTTTTACTAGAAACTAACTTCGTTAATTTATTTCTAAAGATGATGGTGGAACAATTTTAATTTTAGTTATAGATACTTTACTCCTCCCAATCATTATTTTTGGATTCTTCATTTGTTGTTGCGCGGTATGTAGCATAGTATATAATGAAATTATAACCTTGCCCATTATCATTTTAGCTCTGATTGCTATAAAGCTTAATACTTATTTTTATTTTTATTATATAAGAGAACAGCTTATCTTTTAAGAATTTATTCTATGCTTTATTATATCTTCACGGCTACTGAAATTCTAGTTACTATAATAGCAATCATTTTATTTATTGTAAATAAAAGTTCTTACGTGAACGATTGTATTAACAGAAATAAAAATAATGGAATTCTTGGCAAAGATCCAGTGGGCGATTGTGAGAATGAATTTAAGATAGTTGAAAGCTTATTGATTATTGTTTGTCCCTTATATATTATTGTTGCGGTACGTTTTTTATGTATTTATATTTGTTTAACTTTTCAATACGGTATTCATTTTGTTTTTGCTCTATAGATTCATTTTGCCTTGGTTATTGCAGCTTATGCTGCAAGCCGTAAGGATAAAGAAAGAAATGTTTCTTTAGTACTTGAAGATTCAGAAAGCAATATTTCTTCAGCGCATTAAACATCACAAATGGCATTATGGGAAATCTAAGGAAATAATCTGATGTTCAAATTTTTATATGTTTCGTGTATATATATATATATATTTGTATTTGTACAAGAAAGAAACGGGGCGCCAACGACACTCTGTTTCATTCTGTATTACTTTTATCAACTGAATATAATTTTTTTTTTTAAGGTTAATAGTTGGTCCTACATTTTTAAAAGGTAGTTTATAATTAATTGATTTCTATATATTAAATAATAATTATAATAAGCTTAAATATACGTATATGCGAGTTTTATTATTCTACTCTTAACAAAACTTCGAGTAAGAATGTAACTTGTTTGTGATAGCAATGAGTGTAAGTATAAAAAATTCCCTGGTACAGTCCGAACTAAAGGACCATACAGCATAAAATGAGTATATATTATAGTACAGTACGGAATGCAAATTAGGACGGACGTATAGAAATCATGATAGTACGTACGGCTTGTAAAAGAAAGGTTTTAAAATCAAAGTTACTTTTTTTACTAGCCTTGATCCCAACCATTAAAAAGTTTACTTATAAAAATTGAATTTCGTAAGTCTGTATTTGTTAGACGTCACTTTCAAAATTCCATCAATTAAAAATTGACGTTAAAATTGTTAAAGTATATTCCAATCGGTATCCTTTTCAATAATAAATTACGAATTAAAAAAATATATTTATATATTTATTAATTATGCCATTTACATTACATTACATTACTGCACTATTAAAACTACTTTAATAAAGCAACAAAAAAACATTTTTAAACCCCAGACTAATACATAAAATTTCGAAATATAAAGAATGCTTAACAGAATACGACTCAATTACATTGGAAAGTACGAAAAACATTGTTTTTACAAAAATAAGGGTTTTTATTTCATATTACAGTGATTGTCATTATTTTTACCAATTTCTTATTAGACGTTTCGTGATATTTCGAAGAGGTCTTATTAGTTGAGTTTGTGAGGTGCCATGTTTCATAAAATCTTCAGTAGGATTCACAGTTATGTTTATTCAACTCTTCAATAACTCAAATTTCAACTAATTTAAAGATAGGTTTTTATGAGTTTTTAAAACAGCTAAACAGCGATCATATTTTGAATAATCAATTATACTTCTTTCATTTTTTTCGGCCATTCAACCATGTCAACAATTTTTTCAAAGGTTGAAACGAAAAAGAATGAATGACTAATAAAGTATTTTTGAAACCATTTTGCAAAGAAATAATAAAAAATCAATAAAATTGTTTTTAAAAAACCTCTTTTAAATTGAAAAATACTTTTATTAAACATACGTACTTTAGTACATTTTAATCGGTATAAAATTTAAACTCACGTGTATATCAATTATTATTTATTAATTGACAGAAATTTGAAAGTGATGTCTAATATATTTACCGTCTTAATCTATACTGCCGTACAGTACTACTTTATTGAATACCTGCATAGAATTACACTAAAGTAATAAAAAATATATATTTTTTAACTACTGATTATACTATTTTTACTAAAGTAATTTTAATTATTAGGTATTTACCTTCTTCAAAAACCTTATACTGTTGAACCTCACAAAACTGATATGCACGGTGGATAGATTTTGTATCAGTATTAGTGATGCCTGACGAAACCATGTGATGCTAATTGTCACATGGTACAGTATATAAAAATCAACAATTTATTTTGATTTTTTATAAGTAATAGCATGTGATAATTAGCATCACATGGTGCATCACTAATCAGTATTGAGAGTAAATTATTAGATTTATATAACGGAAAACGGACTTGGTAGATTAATTTTTTTATCAGATTAAGGATCGATTTTTGGGAGGGTCAATTAAGCCATTCTTGGCTCACCGTGTAACAATAATGGTTCTGATCCATTTTTAAATGAATTTCGTCATTTTATAAACAAATCGAAAAATGGCTTAGCCATTCTTAGAACACAGAAGGAATTTGTATATTATTTTTCCAGATCTTATCTGTGAACACTGAAATACTTTATATGCACAGTGGCGATCATATGTAATAATGCAGCTTGTGCAAAATTTTTCATGGGCAGAGCAGAATCCTGACGTCAGTAGCGGTCAATGCGTATTAGATATGCAATACAGATATGCTGAGCTACACACGTGTTCATATTTCAATCTTGTTAGCTTTGACTGCATGATCGAAAATATGATTTGTTTGCGTAATTCACGTATATTAGTCCAAAATACTCAGAAATTGATCGATAATGTCGAGTTTCAATATCGATATATGTATTTACAGTATAACGAATAATAATCATAACTGCTATTTTAATTTTGATAATTTATAATAATTCAGCAGGTAAAAAAAAATAAAAAAAATTTGGCACATAATATTTTGAAGCGCCATAGCAAAGATAGAAAACAAAATGTTTCGTCATGTTGTCTGTTAAAATATCCATAATTTAAACACCCCTGTATAATTACAGTAACTTTCTAATGATTTATTATTTTATATTAAGATCATATGAATTTTTTAATGGATGTTATTCACAAAATTTCCTTTTTATAACTAGTACCATGATTATCTCTCAACTTGTTCTGCAGCTAGGATTGTCTAACCCAAACACTTTTTCGCGGTATCCCTAAATTCTTTTTTAGAAAGAAAAGTGATAAAAGTAGGTTATGGCAAATACTATATATGGGAGGCCCCACAGCAAAAGGTGGTTATGGGCCAAAAAAACTTTTTTTTGTAAAAACTTTACTTTTGCAAAAATTGAATTATTTGGAACACAATATTTATTTACTTTTGCAAAAATTGGATTATTTGGAACACAATATTAAAAAACTACAGAAAAAATTTTTTTGGCCCATCACCTTTTGCTGTGGGGGCCCCAATATATACTTTTATTTTCCAAAAATTCTTTTTTTTTTTCTATGAAAATTTTTAATAAGAAATCCAATATTTTATTCCAAGCCTGAAGAATTTTCTGTAAACATCGTCTTATGAAAGAAATGAACGCTTGGGTTCTTACGAAAAGAAATGAAACTTGGGTTCTTTCTGAATAAATAAACGTCAAACCGCTTTAATAGTCTTGGTGAGCTTTGGAAGCATTTGAAGAGCATTTGTTTAACGAATATAATAACCGGTCGTAACTGAACTATTTTTTAATTAGGTTCTGGGACTCGTGAAGTATGCTTAAAATAAGCTTCAAGAACAAGTTTTAATAGCTTCAAAAATTCTCTTGCAGTCAAATCTCCCTAAGTGTTTACTATATATTTTCACACCAAATACACCCACTTAAAGATGGTTGACTAGTATGAAAACGGTGTTATTTTCACACCAAATGCAACTTTAAAAATGCTAGATGATTTATTGGCTGCTTTGGTTTTTCTCTTAATTTGAAATGGCGGAACACCACTTATAAGTTTCCAGAGAAGTACACCTAAACTATAATATCGGATTTTTCGCAGCTGGAGAACTGCCATCTCACATCAAGAGATGTTTGAGAACATTTGCAATGATGCCGTCTTCGAAAATTTCATATTAGTCTGTACATACTGTCAGTTCTCCAGCCGCAAGAGAATGCAGTGATGTATTCAAGGTAATCACGTCACATGATTAAACACGTTAGGTGATTATTCTTGAAGTGTCCCAGTTCTTAACATGGTTCATAATCGGTTCCTAACCGGTTCTAAACTGTACATAGAACTGAGTTCTAGTTATTCCATTGATGAACCTGAACGTCCATAACGGTCCGTCGTCATAGTGGATCTATGCAATTAAGAAATTTAGGCATGTATCAAAAAAGCAAAAGATGTTCATCGTGCTCTATAGGTTATCTAGTTACTCAATATATATTCTCGATTTATTTATTTAAATAAATATTGTAGGTAATTTTGTGCTATTATTCCTTTATTAAAGTTTTTCGACGTTTTTATTCAATAAACCAAGCATTAATGCCAGACAATACTATTATTCAGTTTAATTCTTTAGATAGCGATGCCAAAACTCTATCAATTAGTTTTGAATATCAAAATGTTGGATATACTATAAAATTTCCACCACCTGAGACTGATATTTCAAAAGGACATACAAAAAAAAACCATATATCCGTTTTTTTTTTATTTCGTGCACATATACAAGAATGTTTACAAGGCAGTATTGAAGGCAATAATCAGCGTGCTAAAAACAGGAATATTTCAAAATTATCTTCTAAAATCTGGAAAAAATTACCATATACATTTAAACATGAGTTCTCAAAATATACAAATAGAGTAAATGAATATAGAACTTCCAAGGTGCAGAATTCATTTACTAGTTCTGATGTTAGTAAACAACAAAGTTATTATCAGAAAAGGGCTTATGAAGATATTCGCCACACAGCCTATAGTGAGAATGTGACTAACTATGCTATTAATAACCATCTAAAAAACGAGTCCAGCATCTTGGAAACCACAGCTTTCACTTCACGAATGGAAGAACCTATACCACTGGCAAATCTTTCATTTCAACATTTATTTCAGAATGGACATGAAGAATATGAATTTGGGAGAGTTAAATTAACTCATTCGAATGTAGACGAAACATTGTATTTAAATGTGAATACCACCAACTCTCTTGAAGATCTAAATTCAATACCATCTGCTTATTATGAAACTCAAAGCCTGATGAATTCTAATGCATGCGAAATGCATGGTATGGAAAGTCTTAATATTAATTCATTAAATTTCTTTAAATCCACACCGCTCCAACTTCAGGCGGATTTTTCGTGCCAATCTTTGGTTACTCCGAATGAACGCGAAGTGCTCAATACAGAGAATACATTAACACCCGATATTAATTTAGTGCCATTTTGGGATTCATACGCTTTTGATATTAGATCTAATAATTTTGTTAATTCTGTTAATCACAATCTATATGAAAATGATTGGTTGGTATATGAGGACACACAATTAAACTCTTCGTTTGAATTAGCAATCCCTAACAGACATGAAGTGGATAGTACGGAGGGTATTTCGGAACTTATTAGCCTATTAAATATCTCCGAACCTGCATTTTCTCATATGGTAGACTCAAACGGATATGAGAGGGCTCATCAACATCAGATGCTAATGCAAGGAATTTGTAGGACAGCGTTATAAGATAGATTAATTAAGCTATTAAGATAAGTTAAATACTTTGAATATTATAAAGTGCGGACGTCTATTCTTTAGCGTTGGATAGGTTTATATACGCCGAATAGATTAGTAGATAACAGATATTATGTAATAAAGTTTACTATATTTCGTCTCCAAGTAAGTTTTTTTTAATGTATAAACATAAGACGGTAGTCTTCTACTCCTTCCTCCTAAGATGTTAATTCTGTTACAGTCCTTAATATGTTGCGTCTTTACTAGAATTTATTTTTTGTTGCTCCTTTTAAAATTTCAATAAACAGTATATCTTTAAATTCTATTTTCTAAGAATTGTGATAGAGTTACAATATTATTTCCACCTAAGCATTTAAATTCTCGTACATTAACTTAAAAAACATTATGACGTAAATTTTTTTAATTTGATAAATTTTATTGCAAATTCTAATTTAATTGGTATCGATATAAGAAAAATCATGGTTCCAATTAAATTTCTTATATCTAGAATTTCAAATAGAAAGCCTCTTGTAATAAAATCCTCAATCAGAGCTTGTGACATCTTTCTTATATCGAGAATCGAGAGACCTTATCGGATGAAATTGTACTTTTTACTAGCACTAATTATGAGTTCGTAAACATCGTGTATTCATAGAGCCACAGGTTAACCTCCCACTACACTATAAATTAATTACGAAATAACGGGCATGAGTCGTTATTTAGAAAATGTACAATACTTCTGAAAATAGTATAAATAGTTTCAAAATAACGCCCATACCGCGTACGCGTCCGAAATAACATGCATCCTCATAGGAAGACATTCATATGATTGGTTAATTTTTGTCGATCTACCCGTGATTGCCCGTGATAATTAACCAATCA